TTTGTGGGTTCTAGTCCACATCCGGCTCTGTGCTGACAGCTCAGAGCCTGGAGCCTGCTTCACATTCTGTGTCTCCCTCTCTCTCTGCCTCTCCTGCTTATACTCTGACTTTCTCTCTCTCTCTCAAAAATAAACAAACATTAAAAGAGACAGAGAGAGAGAGCACACTTCCTAAGGGTTCCAGTTAGTGGTCAGTTAATTGAGTTGATTAAAGCACCTGTCAAAACCAAAGTCAAGGATCTAAATAATTTCATATTTTCACAGATCCATTGCCATTTTTCCAATGGCTATAAACCAAAATAGGTAACCTTGGACATGTCAACATGCATACTCTTTGTATTTGACACAGTATACCGCCACCCCTATGCTTCACTTTGCCCTGAGAAACAATTTAGAGTGCCAGTTTCTTGACATCTTTGTAGATAAAGACTCATCCATTAGTAACTCTCTTGGCATCCCAAGTTCTCCATATTACCATGCCACTTAAAAAAGTTGATTGGCATGGTGTCTGGGTGTCTTAGTCAGCTGAGCTCTTGTTTTAGGTTCAGGTCATGATCCTAGGGTTGTGGGATCAAGCCCCATGTTGGACTTTTCGCTGTGCATGGAACCTGCTTAGGATTCTCTCTCCACCCATCTCTCTCTCTCTCTCTCTCTCTCTCTCTCTCTCTCTCTCTCCCTCCCTCTCTCCCTCTCCCTCTCCCTCTCCCTCTCCCTCTCCCTCTCCCCCCTTCCACACCCCCACCCCCTGCAGCTCATATGCACACATGCACTCTCTCTAAAAAAACTGTAGATTAGAAGTTGACTAGAAAACATTTAAGATCCCTGCTTCTTTAGTTAAACTTCTGCTCTTTGAAACAGTAAGCTTAAACTTTCTGATCTTCATTTTTTTTTCCTTTAAAGTAAAAATTAGATGTTAATATCGGTATCAGAAGGTCATTGTAGGGATGACTGGGCAGCTCAGTCTGTTAGGCATCTGACTTATTTTCAGCTCAGGTCATGATCTCACAGTTTGTGGGGTTGGGCTCTCAGCTGACAGCGTGGGATTCTGTCTCCCTCTCTCTCTGCCTCTCTCTCTCTCAGTAAAATAAAATAAGCATAAAAAAAGAAGGTTGTTGTGAATGGTCCAAATCCAGTTACGTAATAAATGAATCATGGGGGTGTAATGTACAACATGGTGACTATAGTTGATAATTCAGTAATGCATATGTGAAAGTTGCTAAGAAAGTAGATTTTAAAAGTCTTTATCTCTTGAGAAAATTGTAACTGTATGTGGAAACAGATGTTAATTAGACTTATTGTGGTGATTATTTCACAATATATACAAATATTGAAGCATTATGTTGTGCTTCTGAAACTGTTACAATATTATATGTCAATTATACCTCAAAAAAAGCTCATTGTGACAATTAGCTGAGATGATGTATATAATATTCATAGTACAGTGCTTGACAAAAGATGGGCAATCAGTAAGTATTCACGGAATGAATGTTTTCCTCTAAGTACACCTTATATGAAGAGAAGTATAAAAGGAAGTTCCACAGAGAAACAATTGATGTTAGGTATGTAATCCAGATGAATTTGTAGCTGCCCCTTTCAAGAGGCAGTATGGTGCTATTCAAAACACAAGAGGAGTAAGGCAGAAAAATCCTAGAATAGTGCTTCTCAGATTTTATGTACATGCACATCACCTGGGGATCTTTAGAAAATGCAAATAATGATTCAGTGGATGGGGTCTGAGAGACGGCATCTCTAGCAAACGGCAGCTGGTGCATATGCTGCCTACCCACTGAATACACCTTAACCAAGTCCTGGAGCACTTGAATGTTTGGCAAGTTAAGAAATACTTTACTTAAATCCATGTTATTCTAGTCCAGCATTCTGTTTCCTGATAACAACAGGTTAAAATTAATTCATTTGTTCATTTAAGGGAAGATTATTTTGTGCCTGTTTTGTACTAGGCACTGTTTTAGTTTCTGAGTATAAAATAACTCAGATAAAGATCCTGCCCTCATTGGGCTTTTAATCTAGTGGTAGGGTCAGAAAATAAACTTGTAAACAATTAATTAAAAGTTTCCCATGGTGATTAAAGCTGTAAGAAAAGTAAAATGAAGTCACTGTGAGTTTGTGTATGATCAATTAAGCCTCCTCTAGGAAGGAGACAACTGAACTAAAACCCGAATATTGAGAAGTAATCTCTGAGGAAGTCTGAAGTTTTCATACAAAATGAAGAGACAATGCCAAGGCCCTGAGGCAGTGATGAGATTGATCTGTAGGAGACGAGAGGAAAAAGCCATAATGGCTGGAACATAATGTAATTATTTGGATGCAAGACAATGATAAGCCATTGGGAGCAATCAGGGCCAGGGGCTTACCTGGCAAAGCTGGGGAGAGTGAAGAAAGGGCTGAAATCTAAGGAAATATTGGAGGTTGGATCCAAGGTGAGTCTTAATAGCTTTGCAGAGGATTAAAATGTACTCTAAAAGGGGGGTTGTCTAGGTGGCTGAGTCACTTGAGCATCCAGCTTTGGCTTAGGTGATGGTCTCAGGGTTTGTGAGTTGGAGTCCCGCATCAGGCTCTCAGATCCTCTGTCCCCTTCTCTCTCTGCCCCTCCCCTCTCCTGTGTCAGCATGTGCACTCTCAAGCACTCTCCTCTCTCACTCTCAAAAATAAACAAACAAAAAAGAGACATACTCTAGAAGGATTGTGCCTGGCCAGAAATACACCTGGCTAAGCAGAACAAGGTGAATGAAAATGAGCTAACATAAGGTATCGGACACAGGTTGTAAAAAAAAAAAAAAAAAAAGAAAAGAAAAAAAGAATAACTTGTAAAGTAAGAAGCGTTTAAATTGTGCATCCCTTAAGTTTATGGTATGAGAAAGAGAAATATATCATTTATGCTAATGCAAATTAATCTTATAACACACATGTAGCACAGTTGAATTGTTGCAGAATGAGTTAAATTTTTCTGAGTAGAAATCATTAAGTAACTATTAGAGAAGAAATAAAACTGTAATTCCTGGCTGACTGTAGGCTGTAGCCCCAAATTTGCCTGACTTTTCACAGGATACTAGAAATGAAAGTAAAAGAGAGTAGATGGAACATTAAAAGTGGCAATGAAGAGGGGCGCCTGGGTGGCGCAGTCGGTTAAGCGTCCGACTTCAGCCAGGTCACGATCTCGCGGTCTGTGAGTTCGAGCCCCGCGTCGGGCTCTGGACTGATGGCTCAGAGCCTGGAGCCTGTTTCCGATTCTGTGTCTCCCTCTCTCTCTGCCCCTCCCCCGTTCATGCTCTGTCTCTCTCTGTCCCAAAAATAAATAAACGTTGAAAAAAAAAATTTTAAAAAGTGTCAATGAAGAAAATAAGGCATGCAAGTCCCCTCTTGCACTCAGAAAAAAGTCTACTAGGAAAAAGAGTCATCATTATTACGTAAATTGAAGAATATTAAATGGCTTGTACTATAATGATTTTTGTACTGAACCTTCAGTACCTATAAATCTACAGTCTATCTTCATAGTGTTTTACTGGGAGATAGGCCAAACCCAAAAGCCAATAAAAGCAGAATTAAAAGAGATCACACAGATCATAGTAACTAAAGAAAAATGAACAATATAATGATGAGTCCAATTGTCGTTTCAGTGAGTCTTACTAGTGAGCAAATCTAATAACTTAAAACCTTGCAAAGTAATGGCTGTTAACATTCCACTTGACTTCTGATTGTGTCTAATGATTTAAAGCCCTGCAAACTAGTAGCTATTAACATGTTAGGGCCTTTCCAATCGATGTTTGATTTTTTGTCTTGTTTTTCAAATATATGAATAAAAGGCTGTACATTAACACGATGCTCCTGACCTTCCATTAGTGAGAAACAGCTCTGAGTTGTTTTTCTAACAGCAAAGAAGAATAGCACAATCAGTCACTCTTTCTCCCCTGAAAGCATAATGGCCCAAGGCACACGTTCTGAGAGAGTCATGTACAATTATGGTCATATTTTGTGGCAAAATAGTAGATGAAATTTTGGTTGGTTGTGTTTCGTTTCACTCTGTTCCGTTGACGTCATTAGCACCTGACATTAACCAACTAAGCCATAGAGTTCATTTCATCTTCTATTTTGGTCATTTTTTGTAATTCTTTTGGTTATCTTTGGCATTTATTAACCTCAACAACATTTTTTTTTCTCATTGGCCTTTTGTATATCTCATTGTATTCATTCAACAAATACTAAATGAGTGCCAATCTGTAGAGCTCCCAGGGTAAGGGAGGGAGTGGAGTGAGATAAAGCTGGGAAGAGAAACCACAGCCAGGTCATTTGAGGTCTTATAAAGTATTAAATTGCTCATCTCTATCTTAAGAGCAACAAGAAACTTCTGAAGAGTTTTCAGCACAGGAGTGATGCCATCTTCTGCCATTTGCTTACTCTGTCGTGTTTCTCCCCCTTTCCCACCAGGCCCACCTTAAATAGTGGGCTTATAGTGTTATCCTATTATTCACATTTCCTGGCTATTTCCAACTAACAAAATATTTTTTATGAAAGAAAAAGGTTGCCAATCATACAAAAATAAATTCCCTGTGAAACAGAGTTTGCAAATAGAGATACCTGAGTTGGTTCATGAGAACATATGGTACATGTTATGGATAGAGTTGTTATCTGTAAATGATGACTCATTTCCAGCAATGCCATAAAGAGGGGAACATAATTCATTGATGCTCCTTATTGCAAGGTTAATATTATAAATATAAAAATCACTTACCAGGTTGGTATCTGTAGTATAAAAACACTTTCAGCACTGTGCTTGATTGACACACCTAAACTTCTGGTAATAAAAGAAGCTCCACTGAAGGATATATATTTACTCCTGGTGTTCTTTTAACGTCTGGCTGTAGTACACTTTGTTTTAGCTTTGTTTTTAACTAAGAACAAAATAACCTAATTTATCTTGGTGCCCATCTGGTTGCAATTGCTCATTTTACATTTATTTAAAAAATGATAGATTGTTCGTGGTGATGTCTTCCCCAGGAGAAGAAGTTGACAGACAGCTGTGTAGAGATGCCATCTTCCCCATCCCTGTGGCCTGTTATGCCCCATGCCCAAAGGACTGTGTGCTCAGCATGTGGTCTGCGTGGTCCTCCTGCTCACACACCTGCTCGGGGAAAACCACAGAAGGGAAACAGATACGAGCACGATCTATTCTGGCCTATGCCGGTGATGAAGGTAAGGTTGGCCACCAGCTTCACGAGGGATTTGGATTCCTTCCAAAAGTTGGAGTGCCCCCCCCACCCTTTTTTTTTGTCTTCCCTGGTTGAGGTGATGCTCTACAAAAATCTTCCGGAGATCTACTTCCAGAATCCCAGAAATCAAGGAAATTTAATATCTGTTAACATATTTAGCAACTTACTCCCATTCCCCAAAGTTAATCTTGAAAATAGATCCTTATTAAAAGAAGAAAGACTCTTAAAAGTAAACTCACATTGCCTTTCTACCCTCCTAATAATTGCTTTCCAGTTTAAATGGTAAACCTGGGAAGAAGTCTGAAAGAGGCTTCCCAAATTCCAGATGTCAGGTTTATTTTTCTCTATTTCAGTAGTCAGTTTTTGCTTTTGAAATCTCATTCTACCTTCTCATAAATAGGCATATATGTTCAATAGTAAAGGTGGGATTTTTATCATTTGGTTTTTATGTTTGTTTGTTTTTAGAGAAACACTAGCACAGCTATTGGTTGACTGAAAATTACATGTATTATCTGCCATTCAGGTTACTGAACATAGGTTCTAAGATCCAGAAGTCTCATATATGTAGACTGTGTTCATTTAAAAAACAATTGTTTTATGTTTATTTTATTTTTGAGAGAGAAAGAGAAAGCACAAGTGGGTGAGGGGCAGAGAGAGAGAGGGAGACAGGATGGAAGCAGGCAGCCTCCAGGCTCTGAACTGTCAGCACAGAGACTGACACGGGGCTCGAACTCACAAACCGTGAGATCATGACCTGAGGCAAAGTCAGACGCTTAACTGACTGAACAACCCAGGTCCCCCTGATTGTGTTCATTTTTAAAATATGCTGCTCCTTAATCACCTCATCCTACTGGGGAAATAAAATATGCTGTGTCATAAATTCATACGTGACTTGTATAAGCTTTATTGTAGAGAAATACAAGGCTCTTGGTAATTGTCTCTCAGGCTTACATCCAAATGCTAATTCGGCCTCTGTGTGACTGGGTGATATGTTATACTTAATGTTGCCATTCTTGAGAATATCATAGGAGTAAGGAAAACATAGAAGTCATCAAGTTCTATCACATTAAGGCATGTTCTGTCTCAAGAATATAGGCACATATTATTGAAACATTATCAAGCTGAATGAGTCTTCTCCTCTTTCCCATTTAGCACATGTAAATAATGATTTCTATTTGTAGCATGCATGTGTTTCTCTGGGTGTATATCCCCAAATAATAGATTGGGGAGGAATTTTTATGCTGCCAGTTTTATTTTTGTATTCGTGAAACATTTTCGTGATGGAAACCTGACGGTGTTTTCCTTTGGCCAAACTTGCTGTCTGTGAATATAATAGCTATGCAAAAATATAACTACCTTGGTCTTAAGACATGAGAGAAAAATTTAGCATGTTTGACACAGTCAACCCATAGCAAAATTTATAATTGTCTTTAAAGTGTCCAAAAACCTTTTCCAGTTACCTTAATATAAATTTAACTGTTTGCAACCCCCTAAAATAGTGTATCATGGAACCAAACAAAAAGATAGAACCTTTTAGAAAGTCATATTCCTTGTCTTGTCAAACAATAACTCTAACCTTGTATAGATTATATTCGGACTTCAAACTCTATCAGCTCAGATTATGTCTTGGACTTCATTAGAATTAGATCTGTGGTCACTGTGCTTCCTATAAATCTATTATACTCTGCAGACACTTGCTGTGTGACTAGTAATGAGTGACTTTTTGCCCCGTGAGTCACATGGCAGAGATTTTGCCATGCTTGCAGAACTCACCAGATCATTATTTCCATAGACATGATGCTTCACACTGAAAGGTCATGAAATGCTTTAAAGGCAGAAATTTATGATTGCTCTTTGGTATGTATCATCTTCTTAGTTTGAAAGGGTGAGACTTCAATAATTTTTAATTAAGTCTAGTAGCTGTGTCATAAGCAAGCTGTGCTGGAAAATTATAGATGTTTATAGAGTAAATCATAAAGGCATGAATTCAAAACATAATTTTACGTGGAAACCATAGAGGAAACTGTCAGTAGGGAATCTGCTGATGTTTGTCTCTGTTAATAACAGCTACAGAAACTTGTATAATTATATGAGGTATTTAATGAATCTGTCCTTCAAAAACTATTTAGTACCGATTATTTGCTAGATACTGAAACATATTTTCTATTTCACAAAAAGTCTCATAATTTTGAGCTATTTTTGAAATTATTTAAGAACTTTGTTTGCACGAAGTTTTAAAATGTGTTTCCCTGCTAAGTAGGAAACCCTTTATAATTTTACACAAAAGTAGGTCTTTCTGTTATTCCCCAAGAATTAATGTTTTGTAAGTGTCATGAATTTTCTTCATTTTCTAAATCAGAATATTACTATGATAACAATAAGGGAAAAGTCACATTATTAAAATTATATATTGCATGCTTAGACATATAGTTTTCTAGTGAAATAACTTCTGTGCAAATCCATGTGCAAAGTATCTATCCAGATTTACACACAAATCTGTGTGCAAAGTATTTATCTGGATTTACAAAATAAATGCTGCTTCACAAAATAAAAGATACATTTTTATTTACCTCAGTCATAACTTCACTGTTAAACATTATATGCTGAAGACTACACAACCTCTTGTATTAATTAGAGCAGCCCAAGTTGTGTTGCAGTAACAAACAGCTGAGAAGCTCAAAACCTTCAAAGAGAAATTATTTTTCCCTTATGGGAATTTTGCTGTGGTGCTGGGTAAGTTGCTAAGACAGTCTGCATTGGAGTGTTGAACCTCCATATGAAGACCTACGTCTTCATCCCCATGCCAGTGGAAGAAGAGTTGAAGAGTCTCTCTGCTGCTTTCAGAACATCAGCATTAAATTCTTCCATCCAGAAGTGACATATCATTTCTACTGCCATTTGATTGGCAAAGCAAATCATATAATCACAGCTTGAAGTTGAACCTCATTTCAATCATGGCAGGGTGGGCCGGGAATATAATCCTGTGTGCTAGAAAAAGGAGTGCTAGCTCCTGGTCTTACCCTTGATTTACTTTGTCTTCTTATGATGTGTGCATGTCTTGAGGAACACTTTGTAACCTATTATCGGCAATACACAAAAATTGTCATAAAATGATTCTTATCCAAATGTCATTTGGAAAGCAAATACAAATGGTAGCAACTAGAGGTAGGTAGTTAATATACTGAAGAAAATAAAAATATTTTTTTCAACTTAAAAAAATAAGTGTGTGTGTGTGTGTGTGTGTGTGTGTGTGTGTGTGTGTGTAGCTTCCTAAGCCTTGACTTCTGGTTAAATAAAATTGGAATTTCTTTTTTAGATTTGTATGATACCTTGAGGTAAAAATCTTCCTTATATTGGATAAACTGTATATTTGGGTGGGTCCCAAAGCTTCTTTAAAATTATGCAAGGAAGAGGATGCAGAGATCATGCCAAGATTTTTCTGGAGTTTTCCATTGCCTCTTTGGCTCACAAGGCCATCCAGGCCCTCAACATGCGCTGGTTTGCTGACCACAAGGTGGTAGCCAAAGTGTACAACCAGGGTTGTTTTGATAGCAGTGACCATTCGATGTGACCTTGACCCTTTTCCCTGGACTTGCACTAGCTCCTGGTTTCCTCTGAGTTTTATAGAGTCATTCGTTGGTGTCTTAGGCCTAGCCACCCAGTGAGGGGATAAAAGTGCTGATGCACTTAGCCCTGAAAAAAAAATGATGTGGAAAGATCTAAAAGGAAGCAATATTTTAACACTTCATCCTGGCATATTTTTAATATAACTAATAGTATGTTGAATTGGAATAATAAATTAAAAATTGATGTTAGATTTGTAGCCTTCCGAATTTTTTGAACCCATGTTGCAGATCTCTTAATAAACTTAGCTTAAAAGAAAACATGATTTTCAAAATGTTTTCCACTGAGTATGATAACAACTTAAGTCTCATTATATAGTTAATTATCCTTACACAGCAAGAAATGAGCTTTTTTTTTTTTGCAAAGTTCAAAATGACCTGATATGATAATTTCATCAGCCAAATTTTAGTGTGTATTTACACCTGCTTTAAACATACAGAGAATAGATGCAAATTAAAATAGAGTTGTGCCAATTTTTTTCACAAATAATTAGCAGTCTTCAAAAATTGTATTTTAAAGTACAAAACATTGGGTAGAGGAATGTTTATATTTTAACTTGGGGTTTTCACAGTTAAAAGCTTTTAATCCTAAGGGCCAGGGAGCGTTTTTATTCCTGGACAAATCTGAAGAACTCAGGATCCATTATCTAGGTATATCCACACATAATTCTGCCTTCTAGGTAAAAGTGCTGTCGCTTCCTCACCCTCCCATTCTAGACTTTGAAACAGGAGTCGTCTGTCCCTCCATAACCACCAAACAAGATTTATGCAGAATCCATGGTGGGAAGTCTTCTATCTCTTTCTGCAAGGAAAAACAAAGGGGAAAAGGAGTAGAGATGGTGTGCTACAGCAGAATCTTCTGAGGTTCTCTCTGGCTAACATTCTTCCATTTCAGTTCCCCGAAATCATGCCACTGCCAATGTGCTTTTCACTTAGAGGTGGTCGGCTGTCAAAGGGTTTGGGGCTGCAATAAGCAGTAAAAACTACGAGCACTTTAAAGCTATAATTCATAGTACACTAATAGCCACTTAGCAGGAACCGGTCCACTTCCTTATCCTGACTGCCAGTTCCTTCTCTGTGTGAACTTTGCACCCTAATGGACGGTATCAATATTGCAAATTCCCAAAATCATATCTGCCTGTATGCCTTGCCTTTTATTTTTTCTTCTGCCTCAATAAAATTTTCCCTTTTTTTCTCTCCCTTCCCAGAACTCTGCTTGTCAAAATCCCACTCCTTCAAAACTCATCTCATTGCCTTCTACCTGAGGCATTTTTTAGTCACCCCAAAACTAATGGAATCTATACTTTTGAATCCCAATTATACTACGTCTTTTAACATTATTACTATATTCTGACTAAAATTATACCCATTTGTGTGTTTGCCTATGCCTACTACTTTCCCCCACTGCATTATAAGATTCTTGAGAGCAGCAAAAACTATTTATAACCCTGCTAGGTATCTCTTGAAGCGCTGGACATAAACATTGCCTACTATAACGCTCAATACACTTGTATTAATGTTTCGAACACGGTTCCTTTATCTTTTCAGTCTTTTCAGCCATTTAAATTGTAAGAACTTCAATGTCAGAGCCAGAAACCCAGGAACACCATAGCTCTGTTCAAATGTATGTTAACACAGCTTTTAGGGACTTGATGTGGGGAGGAAAAGTTACTTTTTCATTTGTTAGAGACGTTTCGCAAATAGTAGTTGGTGTTTTTATATGAGCATGGACATTTCTTTATACAGTAGAATTTCATCAGAGTAATATAAAGTCTGTCCACTTGCCAGAATGATAAAAAGCCTAAATAGTCACATTAGTATGAAGCATATATTTTTATGTATAAGAGGATTTTTTTAAGAATACCATTTATCACTAATTTTGTCATGGGTGACATTTTATAATTTCCCCAGTACTATGGAAATATTCCCACGTGTCTGGAATTAGATCTTCCCATAAATAATAAATAAATTCAACATTATATCTATCAATTTTTCTACCATAAAATTATTCCCAAAACAACAGAACGGATGCCGCAATGACTGATTACCCCAAGCCATGCTTTCAAAATTCCCGTATCGTCATTCTAATTAAGAACACATTGGGGCTTATCTGTGCGAGTATCCTGACACCAGTCCAAAGCTGCTGATGTGGCTTTAATGTGGACTGGGGCAAGAAAATAAATAGCCTTTATGTCTGTAAACTTAACAACCATCTTGCAGTTCCTCAACACGTTACACTGATGTTGTAGAAGTTTTTTTCTTATCATTTGTTCCAAAGCCAGCCAGTCAATTCCAATGTCAAAAACAACTGAGGAGTTTTAGAATCACAGTTTAAACAGCATACGTACACTCACAGTAAAAATGAGGTAAGTAAAGAAACACTTTTTTTGTAGATCAATAATTTCACTATTAAATTTAAGGTATGGTTAAAATGGTTGCCTAAAATGTGCATATGAATGTTTATAATTAGCATGTGTTTGTCTGAGAGAGAAGATTGGATAAATCTAGAGCCTCAGGGAATGGGTAATAAGAGTGCTCATTTACTTCTCCCCGATCCAATTAGTATGTTTTAGAATCCATTCCTATTCAAATCCTAAACTTCTTTTCAGAGGCTGCCAGGGTCACTGAGCTGTGTGATGGAGGATAGGCTATGATCTGTGACAGATGTTTTCACCATCATGAAGCAGGGACATTAACGAAATGCTACTTCATTCTGATGTTGATCCCATGCTCACCACTGTATAAATGATTCTGAATTGCAGTTAAATTCTCATATAAACTGCCTACCGATTTATTTGCTGAATTAGAGGGATGCCCTTAATTATAAGTGAAGTGATAAATGAAGATCATCTCGGAGTGTGGTTTTGTTTATGACTTTTACCCACATCTCAAATTTTGGAGTTGTCTTCCCTGTTAGGATCACTAGCTATTGAATCACCTTTTCTTATTTAACAACCAGGTATTTTCTGCCCCTAAAATAAAATTCAGAGGCTACATAAGTTCAAATTGATTAAATTGTCAATAAAGTAAGCAATAAATTGCTCCCCGACTCTGCTTTTAACGAGTTTTTATTTTAACAAAGCTTTTTATTTTTATAATTGGCATTATAAATAGCATAGTGGTAAGACACTGAGCTCCATAAATTCTTAACTGTTACTGTTACGTCATTTAAGTTGCATTAGTTCATTCGCCTTATAATTTTTAACTTGTCAGGCAGTTTGGGGTATAAAATAATGTCCCACATACAGAGTACTTATAACAAGGCTAGCACATAAAAAATGGTTCCAAAATGATAACTTCACACCATATTCTGTTGATTAAAAGACGTATCCCTTTTACCTTTTATTATCTCTGTAATTATTACATCTTACAATGGATGCGTTTTAAAACCACTATAGCCAGACAGAAGTTATAACATAGTTGTCATTGCTAGTACATGTGAATTGTGTTGTTATTCCTGGTGACAATAGCAATTCCATGATATGTCTGCTAAAAATAAAAACAGCAAAGAACCATTCTTCGTTGCTTGCTTAAATCTTTTGTTGACAACTTCTGGTGCAGTTAAGAATGCAACAGCATCAAAACTTAGAGATGGGAAGAAAGACCTGGAAACAACAGGGAGTACTCTTTTTAAAGAAATCCTACATCATCAACACTTTTGAAACAGGATGATGGTTCTGTATAGGAGAACAAACTTTGATTCATGTGAGTTAAAAAGTGACTCAAGAGATTTGGACTCTGAAAATGAGATTGAGGAATGTCTTCCCTTTTAATGTATGCAATCAAGTGATATATTTTTTTAAATGTAAATAAATCATACAAATGGATTTCAATAAGCATCAGTAAAAAATAGGATTGAAAAGAAAGCAATGTATCATAGTTTAACTTGTAGCCATTGCTCTTTCTTTGAGGAATAAAATGATGGTATATCTCTCAGCCAGTGACATCTTAGATTTCAATAAATATGGTACTATCATTACTACATGGCTTTCCCAGTAATGCTGTAGAAGATCAGACAGCATCAACTGATAAAAAAAAAAAAAAGAAAGAAACAAAAAAACACACAAAAAAACCTGTTTCTAATTGCCCAAATGCCTAATGTATTAAAAGAAGCAATACTTCAAAACACATATTTAAGATTTTCAATTTGGAAGATAACATTTGAGAACACATTGGGTTTTCACCATGCACAGAGTCTCAGTGCCCACATTTCCCTGGGCCAGCAATCCATAGGGTCCATTTGTACCTCATTTTCAGCTTCTCTGGAGAACAATGGCCTCTCTCTTTAAGGTGCTCCATAGTTCCCCCCCCCCCCAGGCAAATACCATGTATACTGTATAGCTTAAATTTTAACCTGGAGGATGCCAAATGACGTAAGATTAATATGTAATTTGCCTTCCTAGCAGCATGCTGGTCACAGGCTATGTGCTAATAAATGGCGGGTATCATTGTTATCGTTAATTCCAAAAGAGAGAGAACAGTAAGTTTCCTGTTAGCACCATATCTAATCCTCTTTGTTCATTTTTATAGGTGGAGTTCACTGTCCAAATAGCAGTGCTCTACAAGAGGTACGCAGCTGTAATGAGCATCCCTGTACTGTGTACCACTGGCAGACTGGCCCCTGGGGCCAGTGCATCGAGGACACTTCCGTATCGTCCTTCAACACAACTACAACTTGGAATGGGGAGGCCTCTTGCTCCGTGGGCATGCAGACGAGAAAAGTCATCTGTGTGCGGGTCAATGTGGGCCAAGTGGGACCAAAAAAGTAAGGGCTTCAGAATGACAGCAGTAAATACTGTGGTCAACCATGCAGGGGATTGGCTCAGGCTTCACTTGCTTCATGAAATGGAGCATTTTGATGCTTGTCACACCTGTCCTCAAGAGTAAGATTTGTTTGTTTTGAACGTCAGCCACTAACAAAGTTCTAACGGCTCCGGAATCTTGTGCCTGGGATCTATGAATTCCGTAGAAGTATTTCTCTGTGCTATCTACTTTCATTTTTCTAGTAGCGCTTTCTCCTTTTATGAAGCTAGTGAGGCAGTGAGGGAAGTGCTTGCTCTGGGCCTGGCTGATCGATAATGACCGTATATGAAGTCCTAACAGTGCAGATGATCCATGACCTCCCATGTACCCGTAGGCTGTGGAGTCTGCCGATCTAGTTTAATTGGGCTGTAGCATTCTATGATCTGCCTTTCATTTCCCCTGGAAAATACTATATCAAAAATACTGAGGCCAAACTTATTACATCTTTTAATGGTTAAATGAATAAGCCATTTACTTCTAAGAGAGAGCCTTGGGATAGGATGCGTGTTATGATAAGTAGAAAAACCATCCGTTTCTCACTGTGGTTACAAGTAGTATAATAACCAGGCAAGCAATTTGCTAGAGAGAGAGGACAAAGAACTAGAGAGTTGACATAGTATACCTACCTTGTGCAAGATATAAAATGAAGAAACGTGTCATGGCATAACTGAGCTAATCAATTTGGGAAAATTAATAAGTCAGTTCTAAAAACGTATCCCTTTAAGGGGAAAAAAACACTTTTATCTGTTGAGACTTAGCATAAATCTTTTAGAATTCATATCTTCTTAGCCATATGAAACACGCAAAGTAAAACCAGTCAATTTTGCATTGGTATTAAAATGTCCATAATTTCCAAATACTTGTCCAGGTGCATAACTGTGATGTGTCACCTTCAGCATGCTACTTAACTGATTCTGGCCTTAGTTTTCAATGTTTATTGAAAGGATTTAATGCAAAAAATAGTCATGTGAGCACTCAATCTTAGAAAGTATTATTTTCTCTTAAAAATTTGAGATCCTTCCTAGTGTGTTTTAAGGAAATGATAATAGTGTACCTGATGTATGAAAAACTTTAGGGCATAAATAATATTCCTATTAGGAGTTGTTTTTACCTGGCCAGGATTCCAGACATTAAGGATATTTTTGCCCCATACTTTATTTGACTATGTAATTTGATATTCTGAAATATTAGAAAAGATAGGCCAGGAAGACTTGAATAAATTGAGAACCTGTTCCGCATCCTTAATTGGTAGCCCCAAACCAATATTTTAATAGAAATAACGCTAAAGTTGTGATGAATCTAACCCAGGAAGTTAACATGCAGCATATTAAAATTATCTGGCAGTAACAGTAGGGGCAGAAATGCCAAATCCTGAGGATTCTGGGTCTTGCTGGGACAAGTATGAAGATAGAAATATTCCCTGCCCAGGGATATAACCTGAGCAACCGGGCACAGGATTGAGGGCTATCATGCCAATCTGCTATGAGTAAGCTCACTCTGTTCCTATTCTACTGTTAATCACTTTGCAAACATTGCTGTTGATATTTTCCTCGCTTATACAAGTTCCAAACTGTTTTTGCCAAGCACTAATATACATGCATATAAACTTACGTGTGAAAGAGCCTGATGGATTAATGTCATTAAATCATTCAATAGGAAGGGTATCCTGTAGCCCCATGTCAAACCACCACAATAATCCATTAAAAATTTGCTTTGCCCTTGCAGCCTTTATTCAATGACCTGGATACGTGTATAGATTTGTTAAATTAAATGCACTTACTTTGCCATTAAAGTTCTGAAAAATTAAGCAAATGCTGTGAATTCGAAAGAAAATGTTACTGCCTTTATCCCTAAAAGCTAGATTAAATTCAATGAATGCTTTTCAGTGCAAGGCATTTGAAACAAAAATGCAAATAAAAACATTGTTTTAAACTCCTCTTAATAAAACAGATTACTCTGCAATGGTAAAATCAATGTTATTGATCTTATCTATCCTCAGAGTAACAAACTTCAACTCCTATCACATCTGTTTAATTTGACCTTGAATAAGATTTGGGGGGAAATCAATTCCTTGATTTAAACCACAAACACTAAATACAAACAGTACAAAGGAGAAAAGAAGCATGTTGACTGAACCAATTGCTTCACCAAAGGAAGTCTGAATTCATTTTATTGGATGTAATCTAGGCTGTATAATTTATCTTTGTGTGTTCATTTAACGGCTTTGTTGTTAGTAATTTTGTTCTCCACAGTTAGCCAAGTATCTTGCTGTGGATATTTTTAAACTAAAACAGAATTTTGGAGGTTGTCAACGATAACACTGTAAATTCCATTGATTTATAAAAGGGCTAAAATTTGAAGAGCTCACAACTGAGTAATGCTCTCCCATTATTTTTTTTTTTAATGTTTATTTTTGAGGAGAGAGAGGGAGAGGGAGAGAGAGAGCATGCATGCAAGTTGGGGAGGGGCAGAGAGAGAGGGAGAGAGAGGATCCAAGAGGGGCTAGAACTCACAAACCACACCACAAGATCATGACCTGAGCTGAAATAAGAGTCAGCAGCTTAACTGACTGAGCCATCCAGACGCCCCTGTTCTCTTACTATTAGAGTTGTAAAATTGCTTCATTGCAAAGGAGTGCTCCCAAAAATACTAATCAATAATTGCATAATTTCAAAAGAATTAGCAGTATCATAGGTGGGGTTTTGCCATATACTGTTTCCTAAGAATGCAGGTTAAATTAAAATTCTAGTGATTTATAATCTCAATTGTAACAATTCATTAACTTCTATGACTCCCATCTAAACTTCTTTGTTGTCCATGACTTTGAGTAGTCATAGCAATTAGGAAAATCCAAGGTTGGGGCTTCTGGGTGGCTCAGTCAGTTAAGCATCTAACTCTTGATTTTGCTCAGGTCATGATCTCATGACTCACAAGTTCAAGTCCCACATCAGGCTCTGTACTGGATTCTCTGTCTCCCTCTCTCTCTGCATCTCCTTGCTTATGCTCTCTCTGTCTCTCTGTCTCAAAAATAAATAAATAGACATTTTTTTAATGAAAATTCAAGGTTATCCTCAACAAGGAGATTATTTTTTTTGAAATGTGGAGTCATATATAATTTTTAAATCCACTTCCAAATAAACCCTAGTGTTACAGAGTGAAAGGGGAAAGCATATATCTGTATAATTGAATAGAACATAATATTTATGTATGAGATGGGATACGTAGATAAATTATTATAATACAGTGATATAAAAAGTGAACTGTCAGCAAAGTGCAATAAAGAAATTATGGGAAGGAGATTAATGATGTTGGTATTTTTTCACTCATACTTCAGTTCTGAAATCCTGATTAACTTACTTGTTAAAAGATAATTTATCCTGACCTACAGAAAATTTGGCTTCTCCCGTAGGGAGTATTTTTAAATCCCATTTTTCACTAATTTGCCAAGTTATTCCAGCAACAGTAATACTAGTTGTTCAGTTTATTTCTTCTCTGCCTCTTAGCTTCTTTGTCAAAGATTTATATGACATCAAAAGATAACTTCTTAGGAATCAGAACAGGAAGTTACTTTTAGTCATACGATTTATGCTATTATGTTGTGTTGTCCTTAATTTACCTCTTCTTCCAGTGTTAATGCTAGTGATCAACATTTGACCACCAATAGTAGAATCAGATCTTGAAGATACAGAGAAGAATTGGGAAATTGAAAAATCATTTAAGTATACATAAAAGTATACTTAAAACTCTTACATCACCTTCCTAAAGTTATCTTATAAAAAGTGCAAAAGCTTATATAAAGTAAGACATTTCAAAAAAAAAAAGACATTTTAGTATATTGGATCATCATCTTTCTCATGTCCATAATAAATATTTTTACTGTATTTTTTAAGATGATTAATTTTACTATAATTTGTCAAGAATGGTGTTTTATTTTTCTTTAAATTGATCGGCTATCTTTGATTTATTTATATTTACTCTTTTGGTCCAAAACATATTGTAACTTATAAAAATATTTAAAATTCCATAATTCTTTAGAATAGAGATACTAAATGAAACCAGGACTAAAGGAAAAAACTGCCTATCCTAATGATCTGTACACTTTTATTATTTTGTTATTATTATGAAATATATAGCTGTAAATATAGTATCATTTTTGAGCATGCACTATGTATTGAATATACTCCATTATAAATTTATGCTACACATATTTTGTGAAAATAAAACATAGAATAACCTGGAAACATAATCAGCAATAAGCTTATTTACCTATACAAAGATGTAGAATTAGTTCTTAAATTGGTAATTTGAATTCCCATAAATTTCTTATAGAGCACGTTAGAAAATATTTTTTAATAGAAAGATTATTATAAGGGGATAAGGTAAATTATATTTTGTTCTAATAGCACGATTACTATTATTAAATTTATATATCCTGCCTTGAGAACTTTTTGAGGTCTAGTTTGGAAGAAATAATCTAGTTATATAGTTCTTATCAAAATCAGACTGGCTCCTGGAATTTAAATAATATAGATTAGTGACTCTTTAGCAATTTTAGCAATGAAAGACTTAAAAACATCAAATTACGTAGTTTTCTGGGTTACTAAAGAGGCCTAGTAATTTCCCTCTGCATTTTCTAGGTGTCCTGAAAGCCTTCGACCTGAAACAGTGAGACCCTGTCTGCTTCCTTGTAGGAAGGACTGTATTGTGACACCATATAGTGACTGGACATCGTGCCCCTCCTCATGTAAAGAAGGTATGATGAGCTAGAGTTGTGAAGTCTACCTACCTAGAAAACCCACTCACCAGGCAGGACCTCCAAGTTCTTCTAGATGAGCAATATTTATAATTCTTATATGAGGCCATGTAATCCTGGTTTGTCATGAATGTCGTAAAATTCTAGTTTCCTTCTAGAAGATAATACAACTTTAAAGAATCAAACAAATGAATTTTATAACAAAAACCGATTTAAGACTCTTCGATGTAAGTCACAATAAGAGATGCTTTTGAGAGGAGGGTTAAGATGGCGGCGGAGTAGGGAGACCCTAACCTTGACTCCTCCCTCAAGCACAGCTAGATAAATATCAAATTTTTCTGAACACCCAAGAAATCGATCAGAAGTCTTAGAGAGCAAAACTGCACATCTATGATCTGCATCAAAATGAAAGAATTATAGGCTTTATCATATTAATAAGATTTCCTTTAACATTAATTCCAAAAGAATGTGTAGTGTCCCTCCATATTTCTTTCTTTCTTTCTTTCTTTCTTTCTTTCTTTCTTTCTTTCTTTCTTTCTTTCTTTCATTCTTTTAACATCCAAGTTACTTAGCATATAGTGCAATAATGATTTCAGGACTAGAATCCAGTGATTCATCTCCTATGTATAACACACACTGCTCCTCCCAACCAATGTCTTCCTCAATGTCCCTTGCCCATTTGGCCATCCACCCCCACCCAAAACTCTCCAGCAACCTTTAGTTTGTTCTCTGTGTTTAAGAGTCTCTTATTTTTTGTCCCCCTCCCTTATTTTTATATTATTTTTGCTTCCCTTCCCCTATGTTCATCTGTTTTGTATCGTGGGTCTGGGCCCCTGGCTACCTATTTCTTGTCAGTAAGAGGGTTGGAAATCTTATCAGTACTAATACAGATTCAATTATGTGACACCCTCCCCCCCTTCCAGGATGAGAATAAAGGAAAGAGAAAAAGGGCCAGATTGTACCTCTTCCAATACTTACCATAGTACGAGGCCTTTTTACAAGATGAGGATTTGTTCCCAGTTCGGTTTGGTTTTGCTTTTATTACTTACAGAGACTCTTTCAGTATCATGGCAGACACTTTGATCATTCTTTACTCTCCAGGATGGGGTCCTTTCTTGTTGCTGCTGAGAAAGATTTCATTATCCTCCAGTTGACTTATGCAATACTTGAGCAAATTTTCTCTCAGTGTCACAAGTGACACTGTCTCCTATTTAAAAAAAACTTTTTTTCAAATGTTTATTTTTGAGAAAGGGAGAGACAGAACATGAGCAGGGAAGGGGCAAAGAGAGAGAAAGAGACAAAGGCACTGAATTCGGAGCAGTCACCAGGCTCTGAGCTGTCAGCATAGAACCCGACACAGGGCTCAAACTCATATGAGATCATGACTTCAGTTGAAGTCAGATGCTCAACCATCTGAGCCACCCAGGCACTGAAACGGTCTCCTATTGTTTTATTTTACTCTCCCAACAAATAGATAGTTTTTCTTAAATTTCTTTCATGCTTTTATTTATTTATGCTTCTTGACTCTTACTAAAGAGATTGAGTCAACTTCTAGATTAACAACTACTGTAAATTGTTGAAAATTATTTAAATTGTAATAAATTATATGAGATTATAAATTTAATAATGGATTATTTTTAGAGTGTGATTGTCATTTTATACAGTTAAAACATAAGTTCCATTTTATGCTTTTAAAAAAATATTTGGTACCCTTGAAAATATCAAATAAAATTAAACCATAAAGTGAGAAAGAATACAAAATTTTTATTTTAAGTCTTTTAAGACATCTAAACAGTTTTTGATGCAAAAAGTTATAAGCATTAATGTTTTTAAAAAAAAATTTTTAATGTTTGTTTATTTTTGAGAGACAGAGTCTGAGCGGTGGAGGGGCAGAGAAAGTGAGACACAGAATGTGAAGCAGGCTCCAGGCTCTGAATTGTCACCACCACAGAGCCTGATGTGGGGCCCGGCATGGGGTTCAAATTCACAAAACTGAGATCATGACCTGAGCTGAAGTCAGACACTTAACTGACTGAGCCACCCAGGCACCCCCAAGCATTAATGTTTTTAAAATAATGTTAATGGTATTCAACTTAGTAATAAACCAGTGTCACTGAAAGTTTTTCCGGATTTTCTTCTCTTATTTTCTTAAACTCTAAATAAGATGAAATCATTTGGTTTGGTCATAAGCAGCAACAGAATTGTGCTTTCTTATCAGTCAGTATTTCTTTGGTAATTATTTGTTTACTATTAAATAATTTATTACTTGATATTCATCCCTACAATAAAAAAGGTTATTTATTACATGAAATTCATGTACTTTCAAATTCTATGCTTAATGTTGTTATACTTAAAGTTCATGTTAGTATGAAATAAAGCCATTTAATAATAATCCCAAAATATTTTTGGTTACATTTATAATCATATAATTGAAACCTAACACAAATCTCACATTTTTAAGTGAAATATCTGAAGATGGAAAAACCTTTGCCTTTTGCATATATGAAATATTTCCTTATATTAAGTATTTTAAAATAAAAGTTGAAATGCTCTAAAGTATTTCAAGAAAATAAAGTTGAAAAAAATGAAATATTCCATTAAATTAATTCTAGGCAACATGTAACACCCATTGAGTTATGTCTTTAAAAGGGGATTGCTCAACACAGTTGGCATTGTTTCTCCAGCCGTGTTAGTGCAGAAAAAGTGTGACAAAATATTTGCTTTTGATTAGAGTTGGGGCTTTCCCAGGAGAGAACAAGAAAAAAAGAGAGGAACAGGGAGTCAAGGATGTTTTCAAGGGAGGATTTCTTGTAATAGTGGGGTATAGAATCTAAGTTGGTTTGGGATGGAAGTGAGGTCATGAAGGGAATGGTAGATAATGAAAGAGTGAGAAGGAAAGTGGACTGGCAGTCTCAATTGTGTTTGAGGAATTTGAGTAAGATGAGACCTGAAGCCATTTAACTGGAAGATTAGGAGGAGTGTCCAGAAAGTAAGATGTTTAATGATGAGAGTGCGTAAGTACTAATAATAATAGCATCAAGGGATGAACAGAAGGAGCTAGTGTTTGATTTGAAATGGAGGAAAAGGCCACTGAAGGTGAGGAGGTACAGTGATTCAGAGCGCAGTGCCTTGCATGGAATAACCATGTGAATACCAAAGCCACCCAAGTGGTGCCAGGAGTAGGAAGAGAAGATATTACAAGGAGGGACATTCTAAAGTTGTTAACTAGTGAGATGTTGGTAGCTGGCTGCTACCAGGTGGATAGCTGATGGTCAAGTTGATGACAGAAGAGTTGGAGATTTTTAAAGATCAACGGAGAAGATGGAAATGACTAGAATCAGCTTCCATTGGCAAAAAATATGAAGGAAAATTTCCGAGACATAGAAGATGAAAGGCCGTGTATTCTATGGGTGTCAAGGTGGAAGGATTAGAGAGAGGATGGAACAAAATGAGAAACTGAAAATCGGGTTATAGGGAGTGCTGTGGGTTCAGTTGATGATGGAAGGCATGCAGGGGTGGCAGGAGCAGGTGCTAGCAGGGATGCTAGTTTCTGTGGTGAGTGACAGGTGACATATAATGAGTTTAGTTGGGCTGGTCTCTTGAAGGGTTTAGTAGCTGCTGTAAATAAAATGCACGGTGCCACTGGGATGCTCTTCTACCCTGGAGCTCCTGGGTAGTGATTGCCAAGGAGTACACGAATGCCAGCTCAGAAATCTACTGTCCTGTGAGGAGCAAGAGGCTCTCTGAGAGGCAGGGCTGTGTTTGGTTGAGCATAGGTCATCTCAGCAGGAGCAGGAGATCAGCCCTGTTTGTTCTCTTTGGAAGCTCTGTATTGAATCTCCTCTAACAAAAGACTTTCAGAAACCCTGAACTTAGGCACTCAGACTTAAAAAGAATAGCTCTAATTGTGTAATGAGGAAATAAAGACTAGGGTGTGGGAGAGGGGGTTGCTGTTGGACAACACTGCCAAGATGCTTTGTGCTCCTGGAGAAGCCTTTTCTTTTCTTTTCTTTTTTTTTTTTTTTTTTTTTTGCCTGTGGACTGCTGTAACAACTGATAATAATGATACAATGGTGTTATAGAAAAGTAGCCTTTTGTTCTAAGGACAATAAAAAAAAGCAATGACATGTGGTTAGTTTATTTTTTCATTATTTGGTATGAAATGGGAACAATCTCAGCTTCATTGAAATAACACCGACTTCTGCACACAATTAAAACTGGTAAACAGAGTTGGGGCGCCTGGGTGGCTCAGTTGGTTAAGTGTCTGATTTCAGCTCAGGTCCTGATCTCAGAGCTGGTGAGTTCAAGCCCAGCCGTGACAGCTCAGAGCCTGGATCCTGCTTTGTTTGGATTCTGTGTCTCCTTCCCTCTCTCTCCGCCCCTCCCTCTCCCCCAAAATGAATAAACATTAAATTTTTTTTAATAAATAAATAATGGTAAACAAAGGTCAGTGTCCAAGGATACATCATAGCAATAGAAAACTAATTCAAGATAGAGTGGTTCTTTTAAATTTAATTCTTCAGGTAAAGTCTAAATCTTATTAGAGTTTTGAACTTATGAAAATGGAGAGCTCCTCCTTTAAAAAATCACTGTAAAGAGGTAAAATTACACTATAGTCTTGCAAAAGACAGAATAGAAAAGCCTAGTATTACAGGAAGAACAAGAAGAATTATTTCAAATGTTATTCAGCCTCTCTCAAGATATGTGTTGAAAAATCAATGCTGATAAAGATCAGTATTGAGTAGAGAGTAATTTTAATCCTCAAACCCATGCCCTTGTTAACTTGTCCCAGATTTTTACAAATTTTTACAAAGGACTTTCCTAAAAAAATAGGAAACATTTATGCATATAAATTGTTGACAACTATAATCTTAAAAGTATCATTACTTTTGATGAAATAATACATTTCACTGTTCAAATCCTTGGTTTCTAACTGCATTTATTGACTTGAGAGCGAGAAGGGATATTGCAGAAGTATCTATCCCATCTTGATGCCCTTAAGCAGTACAGCACTAGAATTATCCCAAAGATGTGAAAACTACTGTTATATTTTGCTTCTTGCATGAAACCTTTCCCTTTCAATTTCCTAGCACTGTGCTGCTCAGCCTGCCATCCATCTCACTTCCAGTTTAAATCTTAGTTTTACCTGCCCTTTAAGTCCTCCCATCAAGTAATTTCTCTGGTGAAATGTATCTTGACTGTCTTAAAATCTGTAAATTGACGTAACTACATGAGAGATTGCATGCCCTTTGAGTCTGTGTCCCTCATGACCATCATTATCACATAATTGTTTTCTGAAGGTATAATCTTTTTTTCCTATTCCTATCCTAGATATATATTTTCAAGTATAAACACTACAGGAATATTTCTTTGTTTTCCCCATGTTTATCACTTCCAGTAAACAAAACAATCCCTTATATTTTATTGATCCTCAGTGCACAGACTTCATACCCATGTGCGTCCTACTATGAGGAAGTGGGTGAAAAGAGATAGAGGACACTAACTTATACTCCAGTCGAGAAGTGAAATAAATGTGTTTGCTCATTCAGCAAATATTTATTAAAATATAAATGGAAACAATACATGTCTGTCAACCACATAGAATAAATTGGGTGTAAAGATGTGCAGGGAACTATGAAGGTTGTAAAATTCCGAGTTTGTCGGTTCAAGTTATCAGTGAGAAACCTTCCACTTTTCTTTTAAACATGTGCTGTAGCTCTTCTTTTGTCTGCATTCTGATCTGAGGACTCTGTAACGTGGCTGAGTTCCACAGTGCTGTTTCTTTGAGTATACAAGTAATTTCCTAACTGACATCTAAGAAGTGAACCTCCCAGTGGATAGAAACATGGATGTCATGACACTTCCTGTGTAAACCCATTAAACTTCCTCCGCAGGTGTTACAGCTTTGGAATGTTCTGCTTTCATCAGCTCACAGTCTGTTCTGTGGGTTGCACAAGGTTAAGGTATTTGAACTTCTTTAAAGAATAAAGGGATTGCCATTGTGGAATCAATTGTGGAAGTGGAAAGAGTTACCGTGATCTTATATATCAAATACAAGCCCGTGGATGTTGTGATGAAAAGGCAGTAGAATGTTTCAGAGTTGTACCTGGAGTGAAAAATTTCCTTTCAAGTCAAAAAATGAAGTAGGATTGAAACAGTAACTGCTGCTTCTCAAATCTGAACAGCCCTGCCTATGTCCCCTGCGATATCTAGACAGATAGTGACCAGGAGCTTTACTGTATAAAGTGCCAGTGATGCTGAACTCGTCATCTCCTCCAGGCTCCAGATCCCTGGGTCTCGATTCCATGTCTGTTGTCTACCTGCAGGCAGGGAAAGGCTGGTGAGTTATTGACTCTAAGAATCTTGACCACCTGGGAAACGAAGACCTGCTCCTCTGTGTTCTCTCCCTTTTTTCCTTGTTCAACAAACACCTCCCTTCTTCCCCCAATGCTAAACAAATGATAAGAATGGTTATTTAGTTTATATGACAGATCATAACACTAAAAAAAAAAAAAAAAAGAAAAAGAAAAATAATAGAAAGTGTAAAAGAAGGTAGTAAATGGAGTTGGAGAGGGGAGAGGAAGAGAAAAATTGTACTATAAAGTCAAAGTTAAGGTGAGCTCCTGCAATTGAGGAGAAAAGTAGCCCTGAGATTCTGGTGAACAAAGCAAAAAGTTGAAGCATGTAAGATTCTTAATAGATTGTCAAAGGAAACAAAATTTTTCCTAGCTCCGTATTATTAGAAGAATTTATTACCTGGACCTTAAAATAGGGGCCACTGGACAACATAATGGATGGAGGCAGCATTAGCAATTTTATTAAAACTCCGTCCCATTGGCATTTCTTAGATCTTTCCTAGATAAATTATATTTAATATGTAAAAGTTGCAACTGACACTCAAACTGCTATTATTATGTTAAAAAGTCTGTGACAATTTTTTCAAATACTTCAGTTCTCTACTACCCACTACCTCCAGCCCCTAATTCCCTGCTTTATTACCTGTAGTATTCTGATTATTCATAGTACAGGTTTCCCCCCACAATGGGAATAATCCTAAAAAGGCACATGTGAACCCTAGAATCTTAAATTGGTATGTGACATACAGGGTCATCTATTCTAGTAGATCTCAAACCTGGCTCTTCATCATAATTCCCTGGAAAGCTTTGTAAAAATCAGATCCCCAAACCCAGCTCACAAAGATTCTGGTTTAGTAGTTCTGGGTTTTGGCTGAGAAATCTGTTTTGGTTTTCCTTTTTAATGTTTTGAAAGAAACTATTCTACATAGACATTTAGGAATCATTAATCTGATTCATCCTCCCATCTAATATGGAAATTATCAGTCCACACTGCTGAGAGTCCCATGTTCAGGGATACCCCAGCTTCATGAGAAAAGATGTCCCTTATAGGAAAGTTCTGATTGTCACATCATATTTTTCTACTGACTCAGTTACTTTAAGAATGTTTCATTTAACGTCTTGAAAGATTTTTTAAAGTTTGTCTTTGAGAGGGAGAGAGAAAGAGAGAGAGACACTGAGAGAGCCAGGTAGGGGCAATGAGAGGAGAGAGAGAATCCCAAGCAGGCTCCATACTGTCAGCCCATCGTGGGGTTCAGTCTCATGAAACATGAGATCATGACCTGAGCCAAAATCAAGAGTCTGACACTTAACCAACTGAGCCACCCAGGTGCCCCTCATTTAATTTTTTTTTTACTAACCATCCATTGTTAGGGACTGCTAACCTTTCTAAATTTTTCTGTTCCTATAACTGCATATGAAATATTTAATGATCTTGCAAAAAATGTAAATGCATCGGGGAGCTCTATTAACATAATTCTTTAGGGAATTCTTTTAAGTAATTTACAATTTACTTAAGAATTTACAATTCTAGGGGCGCCTGGGTGGCACAGTCGGTTAAGCGTTTGACTTCAGCCCGGTCACGATCTCGCGGTCCGTGAGTTCGAGCCCCGCGTCAGGCTCTGGGCTGATGGCTCGGAGCCTGGAGCCTGTTTCCGATTCTCTGTCTCCCTCTCTGTCTGCCCCTCCCCCGTTCATGCTCTGTCTCTCTCTGTCCCAAAAATAAATAAACGTTGAAAAAAAAAATTATAAAAAAAAAAAAAGAATTTACAATTCTAAGTAAAATTGTGCCATGTGGCCATCCATCCTTAAAGGGTATATATTGTAAATTGGAATATCTTTTATTAAAGTTGACAAGTCTTATACCTTATCTGTTTCAAATACAAAAATATTTGGACATCTTTATATCAGTAATACTGTCAAGCTGATATCTTCATTGAAGGTAAATCTTAATTATTTCCATTGGTTTTTTAAAATGTAATTTGGATTTATTTACTTACAGTAATTACTATTTTGAATGCTTCTGTAAAAATTCTGCTTCTAGGAAACCACTTTCATTTCACTAGTTACAGTCCTGATGTTTAGAATGTGACCTGAATTGAAGATCTTAGACTGTTTAACATGAATAATAAATGACTAGAATAATTTATGAGGTATGCATTTCAAATTAAGTGAATAACAAAGAAATAAAATTTCACATTAAAACATTGAATATAGTCTCCTAAGAAAGATTCATCAGGACTGTATGAGTCCCATGTGGTAATCAGGACTATGTGAAATGGCATAAAAATAAACTTTAGGTAGAGGAAAATAAATTAATTAGATCTGTCATATTTCTCAAGGGGAAGGAAATATATAAAAGAGCATTTACTTTGTGTCTGCACATCAGGAAGGCTAGTTGACTATGCAACTGTTTTCTCTCTTCTTCACATTTTGGGGATATAAATTGATCAGGTGTTCAGCATAAGAGTCTGGAGAAGTTAGGAAATAATTAGAGTGGATGAGGCCGCTCATTCACAGATGCCAAAGCATATATAGCTGGAATCCATGTAATGTCTTCACACAGGCTGCTATTTGGATATTGTTTGTCAGTGCAGAGTACAGCAGTTAAAAAGCTGCTTCCTTCCAGGGGACTCCGGAGTCAAGAAGCAGGCTAGGCACCGGGTCATCATTCAGCTGCCAGCCAATGGAGGCAGGGACTGCACGGACCCGCTCTACGAAGAGAGAGCCTGTGAGGCCCCTCAAGTGTGCCAGAGCTACAGGTAATAGAGTTCTAAACAAAACCGTTGTAAGCTGTGCACTGAGCACACACTACAAGACCATTTTCTGTTCGACGATGAGAGAAGGAAGCCAGCGCTGTTCCCCAGGCTCAGTGGAGTCTGTATGATGTATGGCTGTGCGTGCCATCTCTTGCCTCTTTAAAGTTGCTGCTCCACCACTGGAATTATCTCCAGGGAGACAAACGCTTGTGTACGTTTCCAAACTGTATCACTAGCTCCGGGGAATTGGGGAAGTTCCTTATGTTGATATAAACTATAAGAAATTCAGAAAAGTGGGGGCACCTGGGTGGCTCAGTCTGTTGAGCGCCCGACTTTGGCTCAGCTCATGATCTCATAGCATGTGAGTTCAAGCCCCGCGTGGGGGGCTCTGTGCTGACAGCTCAGAGCCGGGAGCCTGCTTCGGATTCTGTGTCTCCCTTTCTCTCTGCCCTTCCCCTACTTGTGCTCTGTCTCTCTCTCCCTCTCTCACATACAAATAATAAACATTTTTAAAAATGTTTAAAGAAATTCAGAAAATGGTTAATAATTATGAAACACAAAAGCAGTTCCATTCCAGATAGAGGAATAAATAGTCTAAGCATGCTTCCCCTGGCTCGAAAGAGCACCTGTTCCTCATATGTGCTGGCATTCTGGCTTACAAAATGACATATTTATTTCAGTGATGCTAACAAGGTGTCTGTTCTGTTCATTTGTGGCCACCTCAAGGAAAACTAAGGTGATTCAAGCTGTTTATCATCATGTTGATAATTATTAGGGAAAATTTTCCCCATAACTATGAAAAGAAGGCACCTAATTGAAACTTTAAGCGGTATATCGTTGCAATCTGATGACAAATGAAGCATTAGGGCATTAATTGATAGAAGGTGTGATCAAAACTAACTTAAGGTGTATCTGATGGCAAGTCTGCCCTCTTAATTTACCTGTATTTAATGCTGATATGACAGACGGTATAATCACATGTTTACTATGAACACTGCCTGACAACTCTCAGCCCAAACTTATTTCTTTGGGGGATTTGTTTTTGTAAAATGTATTGTAATCGCAGTTTCTGATTTACACCTACATTGTTAACCAAATGATAAAAGGCTCCTGACCTGAATACAGTTTCATAACTTGAATATAAAATAAACATAACCTAGCTTTGCGCAGTGGTAGTATCGTAGCCAATGAGGTTTACCCGAGGCGCGATTATTGCTAATTGAAAACTTTTCCTAAAATAAACATAACTTATTTAAATGGGATGCATCACTTCTAGTACTGTAGCTTACACTGATGCCAGTCCTAATCAATAAAAAGGCTAAATGCGGTTGTACTTGAAACTAATGTAAGAAGTATTAACTGTACTTCACTTTTTTAACAAAAGGCTAATAAGCGCATGGATAGAGTTCATTTCTGTAGAAAGCGACCATGACGGACTCTTGTCTCCACTGCCATAGAAAGTACTTTTATAGTTAATGCTCCTTTTTTCTGTGTCTTGATAGAGATCTAAACTACACTTACATAGGACTGAACATATTGAAATAAATTCCCCTTTGCAGCGCTCGGAGTCATGTTTCCGTGCCACCATAGGTCTCTGGTTCGCCTTGTGTGTTTGCTTCCTCTGTGTGAGGCTTCTGTTCTCCTCTTGTAGGTGGAAGACTCACAAATGGCGCAGGTGCCAGTTAGTCCCTTGGAGTGTGCAACAGGACAGCCCTGGAGCCCAGGAGGGCTGTGGGCCCGGACGACAGGCAAGAGGTGAGAGGCCCCATCCCACAGCCGATCGATTTGCTTTTCATTCTTCAACGTCGCTAACTTAACCACTAGCTTAATGAGTTTGCCACTTTGATGCTATGCTTAGCAAACAGAGCAGATGTCGGTCTCTTACCACCCATTCTACCTAACACAGGAACATGGAAAATCATCGTTTTAAATTTGTCCCTTGTTGTTTCACATTAGACTATAACTCCTCTGGTTCAAGTTTTCTTTCATTCCTATTTAAGATAAAATGAGCTCTTGAGAAGCTCATGACTATTGTACCCTGCACCTTGTTTGGGATTTTTTGGTTAGTTTTTGGATCTTGGTATTCCATAACAGTTTGTTTGTCACCTTAAGCGTCAATAAGATCCTTGGAGTGCCTGGGTGGCTCAGTCGGTTAAGCGTTCAGCTCAGGTCATGATCTCACAGTTCGTGAGTTCAAGGCCCACGTCGGGCTTATGCTGACAGCTCGCTACCTGGAGTCTGCTTTGGATTCTGTGTCTCCCTCTCTCTGCCCCTCCCTTGCTCACATTCTGTGTGTGTGTCTCTCAAAAATAAGTAAAAAACATTTAAAAAAAAAGAGTCAATATGATCCTTATATCCTTGCCTTTATGTACTATACGGGTGCATGCATGTAATATAATTGGTTAACTTACCAGAAATTTTCAGCAATGACATCCCTAATGTTGTCATGGCTATGCCCAATTCTATTCATATTCAGTACTGATTTTTAAATGGCAGATTTATTTACTCAAAATCTGCCATATGTGGACTGCAATCTGTCTGCACTACTAGATAATACTGAATCTTGCAGAAATGAGAGATGGAATCATTTCCAACATTTACTGGATAGTATGATTATTTACTAGATACCGTGGGTAATACATTTCAAGCTCTGGAACATGTTGTTTATACTTGTAGCAAGTTCAGTCTTTAGATACCATGATTGTTTTTACTCATATTGACTTATAGCCGTGTAGTTCCTGATACATATTGAAAATGTAGCTGAATACATAATTGAATACCCAGCCACCTTTTTTTTAAATTCATACAAATATGTTTTGCCCCTCATTTGTAGTTACATATGTGATAGTGATGCAAAAGTCTGGGCACACAGAATTCCAGTTTTTGTTGATAGTGATCCTTTACAGTGAAAGGATTGCTTCTTTTTAAGTTTTGTTTTTTTTGTTTTGTTTTGTTTTGTTTTGTTTTGTTTTGTTTTGTTTTGTTTTGTTTTGTTTTGTTTT